TCATGCATGTTGCAGCATGTATCAGTATTTCTGTTTTGTTGTTGAATAATATTCCCATGTATGGATATACTACATTTTACTTATCCATTCATTTGTTGATGGACATTTGGGTTTTTTCTATTTTGTGGCTATTATGAATAATGTTATTATGAACATCATGTACTAGTTTTTGTGTGGATGTATCTTTTCAAGTCTCTTGACATATACCTAGGAATGGAATTTCTGAGTTAGATGGCAACTTTATATTTAACTTTTTGAGGAATTATGAAACTTTTTTCCAGCTGTGTATAAGGGTTTCAACTTCTTCACACACTTGTGAACAATTGCTTCCTTTTTTATTTTTATTTTCTTAGAACCAGAGTCTTGTTCAGTCACCTGGGCTGGAGTACAGTGGTGCCATCACAGCTCACTGCAGTCTTGAACTCTTGGGCTCAGGTGAGCATCCCACCTCACTAAGCCTCTCAAATAGCTAGGACTACAAGTATGTACCACCACACTTGGTTAATTTCTTTCTTTTTTTTTCCTTGAGACAGTGTCTCGCTATGTTGCCCAGGCTGGTCTCAAACTTCTGGCATCAAACCATCCTCCCGCCTCAGCCTCCCAAAGTGCTGAGATTACAGGTGTGAGCCACAGTACCCAGCCTTTTATTCACCTTTTTGATTAAAGTCTCCCTGTGGCCTTGAGGAGCCACTGTTTTTTCACAATTTCTTCTCTGTCATCCTATGTAGTCTCATATTCTGGAATTGCTAAAAGATACTTTAAAAAATTCTTTTTTTATTTTAGTGTATTATCGCAGTATAAGTATTAAGGTTACGTATATTGCCCATGCCCCTTCCCCCCTCAAGTCAGAGCCTCAAGCGTGACCATCCCCCAAATGTTACACATTGCACTCATTGTGTTTGTATATACCTATCTGCTCCTCCCCCTCCCACCTGCCCAACACTCAATAAATGTTATTCCTATATGTCCACTGAGGTGTTGATCAGTTAATACCAATTTGCTGGTGAGTACATGTGGTGGTGGTTTTCTCCATTCTTGAGATACTTCACTTAGTAGAATGGGTTCCAGCTCTATCCAGGAAAATACAAGAGGTGCTCTATCACCATTTGTTCTTAAAGCTGAATATATCATGGTATATATATACCACATTCTGTTAATCCACTCATGAATTGATGGGCACTTGGGTTGTTTCCAAAACTTTGCAATGTGAATTGTGCTGCTATAACATTCAAGTGCAGGTTTCTTTTTCATAAAGTGACTTTTGGGTAGATGCCCAGTAGTGGAATTGCTGGATCAAATGGTAGATCTACTTGTATGGCTTTGAGGTATTTCCATATTGCTTTCCACAGAGGTTGAACTAGTTTGCAGTCCCACTAGCAGTGTAGGAGTGTTCCTCTGTCTCCGCATCCATGCCAGCATTTGTTGTTTGGGGACTTTTTGATAAAGGCCATTCTCACTGGAGTTAAGTGATATCTCATTGTGGTTTTGATTTGCATCTCCCTGATGATTAGAGATGTTGAACATTTTTCATATGTTTGTTGCCATTATTCTGTCTTTCTTGAGAAGTTTCTGTTCATATCCTTTGCCATTTTTTGGTAGCGTCTTGTTTGATTTTTCTTGCTGATTTTCCTGAGTTCTAAATAGATTCTAGTTATCAGCCCTTATCAGATGTGTAGCTTGCAAAAATTTCTCCCATTCTTGGGTTGTCTCTTTGCTCTCTTGACAGTTTCTTTGCCTGTGCAGAAGCCTTTTAATTTGATCAGGTCCCATTTGTTTATTTTTGTTGCTGCTGTGATTGTCTTTGGGATCTTCTTCATAAATTCTTTGCCTAAGCCAATGTCTAGGAGACTATTTCTAACATTTGCCTCTAGAATTCTGCATGTGGGGGTGGGGCTGTCTGAGACCCGCAGTCTGGAGCAGGTCCCCCTCCTTTCCACCTTCTTCAACTCCTCGGCTTCTCCTGGTCCTCTGTCAGCAGGCCAGACCCCACGCCACTGGGTCTTCCCTGGCTGTGATGCTGGCCAGGAGGCTCCCTGTGCTGAGTCGCTGCCTGGGCTGGGCATGCCGGCCTCCCCCCCCCTTGGGAAGAGGGTTGCCCTCAAGCACGCTGATCTGCCCTTTAAGCCACACATACCCTTGCAGGCTCGTTCACGAATATCCCCTCTGTGCCCCAAGCAATGCGAGACCTGGGTGCATGGGATCTGGTCCACGGGTCTGACCTCTGGGCCCCAGGATTCACTCCCTGACCCCACCAGGGAGAGGAGTGCCAGTTCCAATTCACCCACGGGAGCCCAAGCTGGGTTGATGTCTCTCAGCCTCAGGGTCTGCCCCATTCTCCTGGAATCACCAGGCCAGCAGCACCTGGGAGGGCTGGCGGGTAGGGAGCTCACAGTCTGAATACCCCTCAGTCATCTGAAAGGGCCCAAAAGGGAAGGTCCCATTCCCTGGAGATGCCTCCGGCTGGTGGCTATATTGTCTCTCTCAGCAGTGGCGGACAGGGAAGGGGGAGGGGAGAATGAGGCAATATGGCGCCTGCCATGCGGCTTGGGTCTGTGCACACAGAGGTGCCCCAAGGGAGTTGGGAGCCTGGTGCCGCATCCACTACAGGCTTACCGTTCACTGGCAGTGGCCATCCCTGCGCCAGTGTCCACAGGTCTCTCCACCTGCTGGGGAGCCCACCAGCAGTCCGAGATGCAAGGGAAGGGGAAGTCAACCACTCCACTTATCCTTGCCGCTGGTCTTCAAGCTTCTTGGGAATCTCTTCTTCCAGTTCTCCTCCGCATCCTCCCATGGAGTCTTCCCATAGTCTCCAGTATCCCTCCTTCCGACCCTCATCCGATGTTTGCTCGTCTGCTTGGTTCTTTCTTCTAATTTCTTCTTGAAACTGTCTTTTTTGCAAAGTCACTCTGTCTGGTGGTGTTTCTCATCCACCATCTTGCTCTGTCCCTCTAAAAGATATTTTTGAAGCAATTCGATCTATTCTTGTCATTTGTAGTTTTTTTTTTTTTTTACTTAAAACAATTTTATTTTGTTATGGGTTAGCTCTTCATCACTTTTGATTAGTATCTTTAACTGTGTTTAGTCTAGAATTTATCTTGTATAATTAGACTTTATCCCCAATGACTATAGACTTCATCTATTGCTAACACATTTTAATTTCATAATTTCTTGCTTCTTTTTCATGAATGGCCTTCCTATTTTTATCTCTTTGAAAATAGTGAAATATTTGTTTTGTATTTTTTCAGATTGCTTTAATATTTGCATTTCATCATGAGTGAAGTCATCATTGATTCCATTTGTTGGTTCTCTTTCTTAATATTATTTTCCTTATGTACTTTAGAATTTTATGGTGTAAATAAATTTTACATTGAAGGTTTGGAGCCACTTCCCCATAATAATATGGCCAATCCAGTGGCTAAGCTGGCAAGTGGCTTTGTTCACATCCTGATTCCTCAACTGCATCTGATTACTCCTACTGCCTCCTTTGATAGATGGGAGAGATCTGCCCTTATCTGAGGTCACTGGCAGTGGACCTGGCTCTTGTACCTTATCTCTCGGTCCCAGTTATCATGAAGTAAAGGCGGCTGCCTCCATCAGACACCAGCCTCAGAGCCCAGTAGTCCACCATTTCAGCTCTTGCTCAGTGTGCTGTTTATGTATTCTGTTTCTCTGCTGCACAGAGTTCATTATTTTAGGCATAATTATGTCTTTTAAATTAAAATGATTTACATATCTTTGCTATGAGTTTGGATGGGAACAAAGACTCACAATCATACTTATTGAATGCCTATGGCAAGCAAAACAGACATAGTTCCTATTTTCCTAGGGCTGTCTACTTGTTGAAACCGAAATTAATTACACAAATTAATAGTTATAAAATGAAATGAGTGCTGTGATGACAAAAGCACTAACAAACCTCCAAACAAAAAAGAGTGTTCAATGAGAGCTATAATGAAGGGACCTAACTAGACTGAATCTGAGTAGGAGTGTGGAAGCGGACCTTTGGAAGTCATTAATAATAAGGCAAACAAGTATTAATGACTAGCTTTCTAGTGTAATTGCTTTGTAGTTCTTGACTAATATAGAGTGAAATGTTTTATTTTAGTGGCTCTTAAATTCTGATCAAATTTTATAAAGTTTTTTCCCTTGCTAGAATACCTATTAAGATTCTGAAGAGCAAGAATTCAGTCATATACAATCCAGTTTTTGTTGCATTTGATGACCTTCAGGTATAGTAGATCTCAACTTGACCAATCTTCCTGTGCTAATTCAAGGAGAATGACAGACTTCAATTTAGAGATTCCTAATAATATCAAACCATTTCTTCTTGGTCCTCCTTTCATAGTTCAATATTCTTCTGTCCAAAGGTGCTATGCATTTCATTTACTATAGCAGCCATTACTAAACGACACAATTTTGGGAAATTGATTAGATCAATAATTTAATGCATGGATTAGTGGTTGCCAGATTGTTTTATGAGATTATTTATGCACAAAGGGGTTCCTGCTGATGATGTAGTCCAATTCTAGAATACTTCTGGTTTTTTGTGCTTTATTGTACAAAGCATGATTTAACATTATAGCTGTCAGTTTACCATCAGAAGACAGTTACACTTGTTTCCTATTTGGAGTAACATCCCATGTAAAACACATGTGATTCCTGGAATTTTAACAAAGTTAAATTCTAAAGGTTTTTCAAGAGACTTATAATTTGAGGCATTACAGGGATAGCTTAAGAAATACAAGGATGATGGATAAGTTTGTGGAGATTCTAACAAGGAGATAAAAATGACTCTTGAAGGTATTTTATAGTTTAAAAAAAACTCATGCATTTCATGAGTATAAGGCAATTCACCATAGGGCAGAAAATAGTTCAGACGTGTTCCCTGAAAAACATATTTGAAAGGCAAAAGGATAGCTAAGGATATGCAGATGGTTAATAAGCATACCAAATGATGCTTAATCTAATTAGTAATTATGGAAATGTAAATTAAAAACAAAAAGACTGAAATTTAAAAAGACAGATAATTATGAAGTATTGGTAGGGCTTAAACTGCAGGTAGGAGTTCACATTAGTATGAACTTTTTAAAAGCTCTTTGACACTATAAACTACATTTCAACATATGCATACCCTGTGATCTGGCCAATCTACTCCTAGTTACATACCCAGGAAAAATGTGTCATGTGTGCTAAGATACGCAGTCAAGGATATTTATAATAGCATTATTTGCAATAGCCTAAACATGGAAACAATGTAAGCATCCACCAACAATGAAATGGAACTGCAGGATTTTCATACAGTGGAATACTATATGGCAGTAAAAATACTAAACCACAACTATATGCAACAGCATGGGGGAATCTCACAAATAAAATATTGAGCCAAATAGGTAAAAAAGTATGTTTCCATTAAATGAAATTTAAAAATAGGCAGACTAATCTGATTTGTCCAAGTCAGAAGCATGATTACCTTGAGGGAGAAGGAAGAATACGGAATCTAGAGCGGTCATGGGTCAGGTTTTTGAGGTGCTGATGAAACTCTCTCTCTTGACCTGGATAGTGGTTTATGGTATGTTTGCTTCACAGAGATCCAGTTAGTGCACTTATGATGTGTGAAATTCTGTGTGCATGTGTTATACCTGATTTTTAAAAAAGAGAGAAAAAGTGTAAGCACAAGATATGGATGGGTGTATTTAAGTTTTTGCCATGCTCCCTCTGCAGGTGATTTTTATACTCCTTTCCTGTGGAGACACACCTTCTTGGCCAATATATTGCTGCATGTTTTGTTTGTATTTTCATTCTGAAGGCAATGGGTGAGCATTGTAAGTTCTGATCTTTGGTGTAGGAATAGATAAAGAAAACTTATTTATTGTATTTGCATTACAAAACACTGAAAGTTTTATATAAATTTTTAAACGTAAACTGAGATGCTTTGATAGATGAAAAATGAGGACAGATATGTAGAACATTCTTCCCTCAGGAGAATGAGGTGAGAGGTAACTTGTTCTCCATGGCAGAAGGCAAGATTTATGCATATCAGTACATTCTGCCACCACCCTGCTCTCAGCCTCAAATTGTTTTCTATCACCTTGAGAAGAAAACCCCACACCCTTTCCTTTCCCAGCGTCCAAGAGGCCTCACAAGGCTTGATGCTCCTCCACTAACCCACCATGTCCCCATTTCTGGGCATTGCACTTGCTCTTCCCTTCATCTGGAATCCTCTTCCATGGGATGTGCCAAATACAGCTGGCTTCATGCACTTGTTGAATGAATGAACTGATTTATGTGGGGATACTTCTGTACATTTCAAGAGAAGAAGAAAAACAAACATGTAAATACAAGTATTCAAAGCTTTACACCACTCCCGTCTTCTCCTGAGAAACCTTTGTATAGTAGCCCAAGGCTCAGAATCTTTATGCCTTTTATTTTTGCATAACTTCTTTTTTTTAAAAAAGATGTTATTTTTTAGGGCAGTTTTAGGTTCACAGCAAAATTTAGATTTTGCTCAATTTCCCATGTATTCCCTGCCCCAGACACACATACCCTCGCCCATGAGCAACATCTCACCATCTGTAGCTGTTTATTTGCTACAGTCGATGAACTTGCATTGACACATCATTGTCACCTGGAATCCATCACTGACATTAGGGTTCACCTTTGGTGTTGCACCTTCTATGGGTTTGGACAAATGTATAATGCCATGTGGATAACTCTCTGATTACACAGGTTTCACAGGTTTGTAACTGTGAAGAACAAAGTATGAAGAGGTTCTGCAAGTAGTTTCTGCCTCCTGGGACACAACTCTTAGGAAATAAGCCCCCTACCTGGTGATCGGGACTGAGGCTGACAGACAGCATCTCGCTCTCGGGAGACCCAGGGTGAAGTGGGACCGGTGGGGAGAGCCCAGGATCCAACTGGAAGAACTGGGAGGCTGACCAAGAGCGGCAGCCAGACTTGCAAGTGCTGGGTATGCCGGCTGTGGCTGAAGGACTTTGTGCACCTTAACACACGTTTACTCATTACAACAACCTGAAGAGACAGAAGAGGGCAGTAAGGCAGGGAGAGCGGTTCACACAGCCAGCTGGGATCTCCGTTCAGGCAGCCTGGCTCCAGAGCTCCCAAATGAACCCTCGGAAGGAACCCAGACCAGGGCGCAGGCTTGGAGGTGGGGCCCGGGAGGCCCAAGCGCGTGGGAATGAGGCGAAGAGGCAGCCAGCCCTGGCGGAGGCGCCGCGTGGAGCGGCAGCGCCCTCTGCAGGCGGTGTGGGTCTCCAAGCCGCCCTGGCCGCCCGCCTTCTCCCCACGCTCTGCAGCCAGCGGCGGCTTCCGGTTCGCCCCACCCTGAGCCCTAGTCCTAGGCTAGTCCCAACGCTGGTCCTTCTCCTGTTCACGGAGCTCGGAGCATTTGTGCTGAGCACGCAGGGAGGGCCAAGGGCAGAGCCTGGTTATCTGCGTTTGGAACAGCCTCCCAGGAGACCTGAGGCAAATGCGCCTCAGAATTTAAATAGGATGCTCTTGAAAACATCAAGGCTTTAAGGGTTAAAGAAGCAAAATTCTAATGACAGAATTTCCGATCGAAGGCTGGATAGCACAGAGCATATCCTGGGGAGGCCTACACAGCACCCTTCAAGTCGTGTTGTGTGGACAACCCCCACACTCACGGTTCAGGACCGCCTGCGGCCAAGGGTCCCGCGTGAGTGGGTGGTCTCGCGTGAGTGGGTGGTCTCGCGTGAGTGGGTGGTCTCGCGTGAGTGGGTGGTCTCGCGTGAGTGGGTGGTCTCGCGCGAGTGGATGCTCCCGCGTGAGTGGATGCTCTCGCGGGCGCGCAGCCTTCCAATCCTCTGCGGCGACAGTGCTGCTGTGGGGTCCCTCTCCTCAGGGCGTGATACGGGGCGGCGGGCGAGTGGCTGTTAACCCCTCACCTCGCGCCTCCAGTGTTTTAGCCTGTTCTGCACAGCTATCCTGAGATAGAAAAGAAAGAGCTCCTAGATAAAGAATTGTGCTTCCTTTGAAAAATGTATTCATCTGATGGCGACCTGGTGTTATTTTCTCAAACGTACCGTGTATGATATGTATGTTTACATATTGTATTACTGTAAGATAATAATCGTATTATCTTATCAGGAAATGGGCATTTTCCCTTTACCTGTCTCAAGGATTAGGCTGAACTTCTATTTCCAAGGTTTGGGAACCTTTCGCTCCAGAAGAGAGAATTAAGTGACTTTATTCCTCAAAACACCAGCCCGTACCTCTCCCAAATCTAATCTGAAGATGTGTTTTGTTTGACCCACAGTTTTAAATGGAATCAACTGCCAAAATGTAAAAATGTAGTATATTATTTTATGAATTTAGGTTTCTGGTTTCTGTGGAAAAGCCTGACGATACTGGGCTGGCACTTGCAAGGGAAGCAGTTGGCTCAGGCCGAATAGAGACCTGCTCCGTCCGCGTGCTGCAGCCCCCCACTCCTATGGCTCCTGCCGGGGATTTCCTAGGGCCAGCTCTGTTTATCCTCTTCTTTCAGATCTGCTTCGCTTCCATCACTCGCATCTCTAGTTCAGGAGGAGGAGGGCTCCCAGGGATCTGCCTGTAAGCAAACGTTAGTTTACCAAGGGTCAGGAAGGTAGATGGCAGTTGGGCTCTGCAAGGGTGGGGATCTGTGACCCTTGCACTGATCGGGAAGGGACAGGTCTTCTAACAGAGCATGGTCACGTGGATGTCCTGGGAGCCCTGGCAGGGTTGGGTGTAGAGTAATGACTGGGGAAGACAGTGGAGCTGCATCAGAATGGAGCACACAAGCTTGGACAGTGGGTGTCTTGTGGGCAACCCTGGTGGGCTGTGAAACGGAGACTTATCCCCTGCTTTCCCAAATTGCTACATTGTAAGGGAAAGGATTGCTGGGGGGGGGGTCCTGAAAAAATAACTTAGTGGATAGGGCTTGAGCTGTATGTAGCTTCAATTAGAAACATGAAGAAAAGTTACATTTCTTATATGTGAATGTTCCATCATAAGTGCCTTGTGTTGTGGGAGTTTGCCTTAAAAAACACTTGCAATACCTTTCCTGATTATCTGGTTATCAAATTAATTCATTAATATATTCATTCATCAGATATTGGAGAAACTGCTACAGTTATAGCATAAGGGTGTACAATGGTGACCAAGATGTAGTCCCAATTCTTTCTAGTGACCTGGATAGGACATAAGGGGCTGGAGTGGGAAGAATATTGATCAGGGATGAGAAGGTTGAGTTTTCATCCCATTTTTATCCTCCAACTTCTAGGCAACCTTGGGCCAATTACTTTATCTTTCTGGGCTTCACTCTCTTCATTTGTAAAATGGGGGCTAAATTATCTTCAATTTCTTACCAACTTTTAAAATACTTTACTGAAAGAAAGAGACATATACATCTGACATCAATAGAGTTTTTGTTTTTTTTTTAAAATGAGGGAATAGCTAGTTCCTTTATCAGGCTTTGGTTTTTCTTCCTGTATCTGATTTCTACAAATGAGAGTAAAAATATACAATATACTTTACTTTTTACTTCAATGTGTTTACTCATCTAAGATTCATATATGAGGAATTAAATTTAAAAATAGTTTGTGCAGTCACAGCTGGGAGGAGGCCAGTGATTATTCTGTCAAAAGCAGATGGTTCTACCATCCCTGAGCCTAGGATTTATGGTGGAAACCTAATGGTGAATGAAGGCCTTGGAGAAAAAGAGACTGACAAGAATATTATGCAGTTGGGGTAATAGGTTTATTATATCTATATACAAGTAAGCATTTACTGATGCTTTGTCAAAAATAAGGGACAAGATAACAAAAACTATTTTAGCACAAAAACGAGATAGCTGCAATAGACCAACACTGAGCTTAAAGACTCTAAGAAGAACACAGAACCTGAAATGAGAGCTTTCAGGTTGTCTAGTCACCCAGACAATGAAGTCGACTGTACAATACAAGCAACACACAGCAGCAGCACACCATCAAGGAGGCGGGTTCTCACTGGAGGATAGAAGGAGGCTTGCTGGGCCTGGGGCCACTGATGGGAAAGGGTATTAAAATCTCATAAATCCTCCATATCTTTTTTCCATTTCGGGAACTTCTTTGGAGTAACTCTCGCCTTCTTCGTCGGAGGGCAGAGACTCCGCGAAGCGCTTCAGGAAGCCTCCGTACCTTTTCTGGTAGTCCATCCACCACTCCGGGCGGCCCACTCTTCTCATGAAGCCCCCATATCGCTTCTGCAGCTCTTTGGCTTCGTCTTCCAGTTGGGGGCTTCTCTTTAAGCCTCTCATGAAGCCCCCATATCTCTTGCTCACCTCTTCATCATTGTCACTGCCGTCCTGGTGGTGGCTACGCTCCCGGTTGTCCCCCGTTTCCAGAAGCTCCTTCAACAGGTCTGAGGAGTTGGCCAGGGAGTCGTCCTCCTCCGCGTCCTTCTTCATGAAGCCCCCGTACCGCTTGGCAAGGATTTCACCTCCGTTGGCCTCTTCCTCCGGCTCCATGGGATAAAGCTCGTCCATCTTCTTCATGAAGCCTCCATACCTCTTCATGAAGCCCCCGTACCTTTTGGCCAGCAAATGGCTCTCTTCCTGTTTGCTGCTGTCTCGGAGGGCGCCGGCGGCATCCTGAGCAAGCTCGGATTTGGACAGCTGCAGGAGCTCCTTGCAGGTCGCCCAAATTTTGAGAGAAGGAAGTCTTCCTTCACACTCCATCACACAAGCCTGGGAAAACAATTTGATGTAATGAGAAAAAGAGGCTTCTCTGATTAAGTGAATGAACTTTTATGGACCAAAATATGCTTGCTTTGATATAGAAACTCCCATCTAATACGGTCATCTCTATTTTCTTATCATAACTTTTTATCACACTGAACAGGCAAATGAAACAAATGAAAACTGGAAGGGGAAAATTAGGGGGGAATTAACTGAATCAAATTAGAAATCCACATTTGGATTTTAAACCCATTGTAGATACTACACTATTTCAATATTTTATTTTATTTTATTATTTTCTTAAATTCCAGAATATTACAGGGGTACAAACATTTTGGTTACATGAATTATCAATGTCTTAAAGGATTTTTTTTTCAACCCTATTTTAACTTAGATTGTCTGCCTTTACAATCTAATTTGCCTGGATAATTTTCCACTGCTGATGTCATTTTGTTTGAGTTTTCTAACCAAAAGGGGGAAATTTTTGTTTACCTAATCAGGGACATTTCCTCAAAATTCCTTTTATCTTCTTGTCTTACTGATAAAATCAATATTAATAACATAAGATACATTTGCTTTCTTGTGTTAATATTTTACCTAAAGTGGTACCCAATATTCCTGCAAACACATTCAATCTTCAAAGAAAAATTTCAAAATAAGTTTAAAAACTCAATTTAAATCTTACAAATTATTTGAATTCTGATACATTATTTTGTTGAAAGTAGAGATTTTTTCCTTTCTCCTTGTTGATTAAAACAGATTGTATCACCTGGAACCAAATGTCTGTAATGATGAGATCAGATATGAAATTATACATATGCAAATGCACAATTTAATCATGCTTATTTTCTTAATGTTTAGACACTAGTGTGCAGAAAAAGTCTTTTCCAAGGGAAATCATGTTATTTGATAAAATAGAAATGATCAGCATAAAATTCTTTCCTTTTTATTACACAGTAATTATATTCAAATCATTGTAAGTCTATATATTCTAATCTTAATTTTTTTTCTATTCAACAGATCACTTGGTTATGATAAAGAAGCACCAATATTATATGAATATTTACAAAATACATATGATATTTCTTAGCATTTCAGAGGTTTTTATAGCCATCTGAGATCTCGTTATAGATCTGAGGGTTACAAGCAGAAAAGCCAGGCCCTTTCTTGGTATTTAAAAATATACTGGTATATTAATTGATGTTAAAAACACACATTATTTTCTCAGTGAGAGAAAGCATTTTATTAATGCAACAGATCCTTAGGGTACATATTTAACTAGCTCTTAATGGTTATTTAAGCATTGTATCTGAGTAAATTAAATACAGGGGTATATAAAAATCTAAAGACGATGCAATTAAAATGGTTTAGTTTCTTCCTGATATCTGATGAAGAAACCAAACATTATTAAAAGCTTAAGATGTTCAAGGGGCAATAATATTTCCATTCTAAAATTGCATTTAAATGATCCTGTTGCCAAAAATTGAAGTTCAATATTTTGTATACTAATACCAAAAGACTTTTAAATGTATGCAATATGGGATTTCTTCCAAAACCAGTAGTGACAAATAATCAGAAAAACACACTCATACTAAAGCATGATGTTAATTTATGGCTCCCATAGTCATGTGTGCGTCTTTTGCGGTATTTATCTCATGCTGTGTGCCATGGGCAAGGTCATATTAGATGGGAAGTGCTATCTGTACATCAGCTATGGCATGCCTGCTCATCTTTGCACACACCGCAGTACCAAGTATAAGTGTCTTTCACATGGTACAAGCACAATAAATATTTGTTACATTGATTTTACTACATAGTTTTGGCTAGGTAACCTCGTTTCTCATATATCTGTTGCATCTAAGCTAAAATCCTAGAACTGCTGTCATTCTAGCAACATAGTCATTAACTAAACCTTTTGTCACTGAGAAAATATCCCTAAATACAAGCCCAAACACAAAACAAATTGGTTAGTTATTATTCAAAATGCCTTTCTACAAAACTATATTTTATTTTTCAAGTTGCTAATACAACATATGCTATACCATCATGGGAATTAAAAAATAATAAAAAGCTACAACAAGAGCATAGAAAGCACTGAGGAAAATTCTGGAAGAGCAGTTAGTCTTGATCTTGATCTCCCCCATCCCCAAATCCTGTTAAATGATGAAAGGAGAGGGAGAGAAAGAAGAGAAATTGGGATTTTGGATGATACCCAGGGAAGGGCTAGCTGCCACCCAGTGAGCTCAAGTTCATCAACAATGCCAAAGGAAGATGAATAGCATTTTGGGAGCTTGGTGAAGTAAACAAATGAAATATGAAAGAAAAATTGAACAGACATTGTTAAATGTCAGTTATATTAATTCACTGAATCACATAATTTGGGTAAATCTGATACTTCTTTGCAGTCAGACTGTGTGATTAGAACAATTCTACTAGAATCCACATATCATTTATGTAGATGACAGAGAAAGATAGGGGAGGAGGCTCAGTCCTGGACAATCAAGCAGGGAAACCTCAAAATCTGCACGAATGGGCAGGGGGAATTACAGGACCAGAAAGCGGGGTTCTGCATATGGCATGTTTTGGATCTCTCTCTTTCCATCTGTGAGTAAAATTCTTTACTCACAAGATCTATCTTTATGTTTGCATCACTCACTCAATTTTTAGGCATGGCTTAAAAGCTCATGACTACAGGAGAAGGAAGAAAGGTGGATGAAGGGGACTGTGTTCCCTATTGACAACAGAACATTTTCCTCAGTTTAAAGATGCAACCCTTCTATGAGTCTTCCCTGTAAGGTCAAGTCAACATGTATCAAATGAAATAGATCAGGTAATTCAAATACTCAAATGAAACAAATAAACATGCAACCTAACATATATATATACCGCAGATTTTGGAATCCTTTCCTTAATTTTCTCTCCTTTTCAAGTTTCTACATAACATAGCATTTCTTCAACTGTTCAAGCGAGCCTAAATCTGCTTAGATTACTCTCCACTGACTTTTTAAGTCATCACAGAATTTCAACAAATTTCAAAGGCAGTGCAAAAAATAGTTAATAGAGCTAGTTAAAAGGAAATTCCCCGAGTTTCAAGGTAGGGGATTCTGCCTCAACTGGCGCCGCAGAGGTGATTCTAGAGCCCATGCACTAGGATTAGAATGAGGCTTTTTTTGTCCACAGCCTTCCCCCTCTCATTCCAAGGTCCTCCTAGCAAAGTTTATCTTTGGACTGTTGCCATCTCTTTGGACACTGGCCACCTCTCCTGTTCCTGTCTTACAGCCGAATTAAAACGTTTCAGCCGGCATTACAGAAGTGCAGTAAAAACAAGACAAGTTGGGTTCCTGCATCACAACTAAGAGCTCTTCCTCTCCTGTCTCCTGCGGTTTCCCCTTCCTCTGCCTTTAACCCCTTCCCATCTCTTTGCTCTCTCTTACCCACAGGTAGGGCAAGGGCATAAGGAACCTGAGGTTAAGAGAGCTAGGAAAAAGAAAGTCAAAAGGCCACGCAAGTCACTAACAACAACAAAAACGACACTATTTGTAGGAAGGATGTGAAGATGACTGCGTGTGGAGGGGTCCTTAGTGGGGATATGATAGGAGTTGGGGTGACTGAACACCTTCCTTCCCACAGCCTAGGTGAGAACCCAGTGCTATCCGAGGTGCTGAAGACAGCACATTTCGGGGTTCCTGAATCCCCAGGTTTAAAACAAACGTGATTTGCGAGGATAAACTGCCGCCTTAACCAGTCCCCAGATAGTCGTGGGACCCTGAAGCTGAGAGCCAGGGTGGGACCTCGGTCAGCGTCCCAAGACCAGGCAGAACACCGGGGTCACCAAGTGCTCGTGTCGCTGCGGCTCCCACCCAGTATGACCGCGAAATGCACCTCGCGGCGGGCTGCGGGCTGTCCGGGGACTACAGAGGCGACTCGCTAGCTCACCGCGCTCAACACTCACCAGGAAGTTGATGTCTGCCGGGCGCACCAGGCGGTAGCTGCATGTCGCGCAGTCCTGGCTGCATTCCGCCCGCACGGTCGCCAGGAGCCCCGGTCCGAGCACCAGCAGCCAAGTGCAAAATCTCAAGAACCGCGCCATGGACTGGAGGAGAGAAACAAGGACGCGCGCTCCGAGCCTGCCCTGGCGCAGGAAGGGTCCCTGGAGGGACCCCTCGCCGCGACAGGCCCAGAGGGGCATCGTGGAGCAAGAGTCCTTAGGGATGCTCCTTTCTGGGCCCCCCACCCGCCCAACACCTTTTAGGGAGACCTGGGGACTGCCCAGATGTCCTCGAAGCTACGGGGCTGGCTGCCTGGGGCACCAGCTCTCTTCCTCGGTGTCCGCGGCCCCGGGCAGGGTTCTGGAGGGCATACCTGAGACCAAGCGCTGGAGAGTGGGTGCCTGGGGAGGCACGACATTGACCGGGTCACAAAGAGAAACCGGGAGAAAGTTGGGGAACCCATGCAATGAAACGTGGAGTAAAAGAGAGCGGATGGATGTCCCCAAACCCGCGCAGCAAAGGCGAGTTTGGGGACAATTCACTTACGTTGACGCTGTTCAGATGGAGCATGCTGGTTGGAAAAACCGGGTCCCAGACACAACTCTAGAAGGAAGAGAAGGCAAGTGTGAGGCGGGCGGGCGTCGGGGAGAAGCGGGCCGGGTTGGGCTGGCAGGCGCGGGCCTCACCGTGGCAGTCCTCCGCGTCGCTGCGGGGCCGCGGGCCAAGCTACCCGCTCCGAGCGCCTGCCTGGCGGTCCGGGGCTAACGGCGGCTGGAGCCACTTTATAATTAGCCCCAAACCGAAGGAGGCGCGCGCGCCCCAATCGCGGGCGGGCTGCGGCTGACGCAGGCCCTACGCCAGCCCCGCGCGGGCGCCTCGCGGGAGGGTGCGTCCCGCGCGTCCACGCGCCGCTCCCCGCCGAGCGGGGTTGGGGGAGGGAGGCGCTCGGTGGCTCACCGCGCTGCCGTGTGACGGCCCCAGGCAGTTAGGAAGTTTGGGGAGAGTGGAATAGGATCAAGTTTCCCCGCATGAAGTCCCGAAGCTGCGCGGGGGCGGGGTACGGGCCCCGGGGAGGGAACCGTGGTGCGGGCGTCTGTAAGGCAGGTGGGCTGGCTCGGATCTCCGGGACGTGCCGGAGACCCTCCGAGCGGGCGGGGCTGACCTTTCCCCTCCTCCGCGGGCCCTCCCGGGGTCCCGTGGGCGCGCCCCGAGCACAGCCACCCCGATGTCGTCACTTGTCCACCGGTCCCCCACGCTTGACTCCCAGTTCCTCCTGCGGCGTCTAACAGCGGCGGGCGCGCAGCAGGCGCTCAATTCATGGCTACAGGAAGGAATGATTGGAACTTTCTGAGAATTTGAAAATCTCGGGCCCGAGTTTTTCCTTTTCCAGTTAGGGAGACCCTGGCCCAGCGGAGAAGCAGCAAAACCTCAGGTTTTGAGAGGCGCCCGACCCGGACTGCGCCGGTTCAGAGCCGTGGCGGGGCCCCTGTTCATCCGGCTCCTGGGGCGGCTGCCTAGCGCGCCGGGCCCGGGGGTGTCCGATGAGCGGGGGAGGTGCTGCGCGGGGTGACGTCAGCGTCCAGGAGTGTGGCGGCGAGAAAGCGACGAGGGACGCGGTCCTCAGGGCACCGGGGCTGGGACATTCTGTCCACAGAGGGGGCTGAGAGGCTGGGGCCGTCGACTGAGACCCGCTCTCTCACTTGCTCACTCTCAACTGATTGCTAAGTGGCAAGCTACGTAGGTTCTCTGAGGCCTCAGTCTCCCCATTCGGAAAACAGGGACAGAGGTAATACGCCATTCATGGGGTTCTGGAGAGAATCACAGGAAATGCGGGATGAAGTCTCTTAGCCTTGTGCCTGGCACACAGCAAGCCCTCCAGGCCTGTTTGCAGCCGTCTGTCATTCCTCTCCCTTTCTGTCTGCCTGTCCATCATCTCTCTACCTTACGTCTATTGTCTATTTATCCGTCTACCTATGTTTCTACCTCTCCTTGACCCAGGGAGAAGCCACAGACAGCTCCAGAGCCCACACAGAGAGTCCCAGGCTTTCGCAGACACTTGCACCCTCGCAAAGGACGTGCCACCAGCCGTCGTGGGGACGCGCGGCCTCGCAGTTCGGCGAAGCTGGGCCGCGCAGCGTCTCTCATTTGAGTCGCTAGAGGGCAGCACTCTCCTGCGTAGGCTGGGCGTCCCGGGGACGGGGTCTTCTAGATCCTCCGCAGCCCTCTGCGGGCGGGCTTCGGGCACCGCACCCGGAGTAGCCCGGAGCTGCACCCGCGCCGCTGCCGTCCCACGGCCCGGCAGCCCTGCGGCTGCGGTGGGGAAGCAGAACGCTGGCGTGGCGGGGAGAAGGCCGGCACAGCCCTAAGGAGCCAGCACTGCCCTCAAGCCAGGAAAGCACGACCTTTCCCCTTTGACCTTTTAAGCTCTTCCCATCAGGGGGCTGACGGTGTCCTCTTCAGCTCCTTGCCTTCTCCCCAGCGCAAGTGAGAGATGCCGTCCGTCCGTCCTTAAAGGAGCTAATCCCCTGCCGTCGAGCAGGCTTTGTAAAGGAGCCAACTACCCTGCAGAACTCAGTGCCAGAGTAGTAAAGGAAACTTGCTGTGTCCGAGCGCTTGCGAACCTGGGACCACCGAGACCTTTAAACCAGGAGGCTGAGGGTGCGTAGGTCGACACCTTGTCTGCAGACACCAAATCAGTGACAGTTTCTTCCCATCACCCTCCCCCATCTATCTGGGAAGATAAAAATCATGCATTTCTGTACTCGTTTCTTTATATTTGAATGGTGGCAAAGAAGCTCAGGCCGTGAGAAATTCATTTTGTAATGATCTTTTAAATATTGTATCAAGAACTAATAGATTTTGCAGTTATGTTCTGGGGGGGGGG